ACCTCGCGGCGAGGCGTGGGCAGCGCGCGGACCCCGCGACGCCAGGCCTCCCAGACAGTGCTGGCTGCGACCCCGCCTTACCCCTTTCCGACAGGCCCGGGGCACTTTGCTAGCAACCCTGGAGGCCCGCCTGGGACCTTGACACGGGCTTCTGAGTGCTGATACGAGGGCAGCAAGCATAACCTGGAGCAACAGTGCCGGGACCCCATAGCCTCATTCCGACCTCCCTGTTACTGCTTCCTCCTGGTGCAGGAGCAAAAACCAGGCCCGCAGAAGTTGAGTGACTTTGCCAGGGGTGCCTGGTTCTCACCTGGCAGGCAGGGATTTGAACCCAGGCAGCTAGCTGGCTCCAAAGTCGATAGAAACAGGAGGAAGTAGAGTCTGTTATGAATCTACCCTGTCTAGATGGGGAAAGTGAAACTCGGAGAAGAAACTTGCTCAAGCACTCAGTAAGCAAGGAATGAAGGTGGGCGCAAACCCAGCAGTCTGGCCCAGAGCTTCATGGCTCTGGAGCTCCTATCTGGCCCACATACCTGTGCCCCCACCCCAACCCCGCGCGTGTGCAGAGCACCACCCCGGAAATAAGCAGATGGTTGATCTTCATCTCAGAGGCAAAGCCCAGAGACACAGTGGCAATTAACAGGCATCCTCCGGTGACCGGTGCCAGCTTCCTAGGACTGTACACTTGGCCGTGAGTTAACTTGTGTGGTTTGCACAACAGCCACGAGGGAAGTGATATTGTTGTTCTCATCCTGCAGAGGAGGAGACCTTGGCCCTGAAAGGCAGAGTAATTTATCAGGGGCTCTTCCTCTGATAAGTGACTCAACCCAACCTTGAGCCCAGGTGGTCTTTCTGGGGCCGATTGCGCCCTGTTGTCTAGATGTGCCTAATAGGCAGGCAGCCAGCCAGAGGCACACCTGTGATACCAGTACCCTGGGAGGCTGAGGCAGGAGGGTTGTAAATTTGAACCCATCCTGTGCAATTTAGGGAACCCTGTCTCAAATTTAAAATGTTAAAGAGGAGGGGGTGAAGGGAGGGCAGGGACAAGGGGAAAAAATGAGAACCAAGACCTGTCATGTAAAGGTGCAAGAGCCCACTAATGAATGTAACTGTTCTGTCTACCTAGAATGTACCAATAAACTGAATTAAAAAGAAAAAAGAAATAAATAAAAATAAAATGTTAAAGAGAATAGGGAGATAGCTCAGTGTGAAGGCCCTGGGTTCAATTCTCCATCATAAAAATTTTTCAAAACTGAAAAATACAATTAGAGATGGGCTGGGGCTGGAGCCAGGGATTCTAAACTTTCTCTGTGATTCCAGCAACACCTTTCCCCTGTCCTCTCCTCAGTCCACAGACTGACGTGTGGTTTCCATTACCCATGCACACATAACACAACACATCTGCAGCAAATAAAACAGGAGCTGGGTTTGAATTTGAGACAAGTCTTCCTTCCAAAGAATCCGGGGAGGAAGCATGGAGATGGGAACCTACAGATTTATTTTCAATGGCCCAGGTCCCCTCAGGGGAAGTAAATTATTAGAGTAATTGCTTTCAGGTGACAATGCCTGCCTGCCATTGCTTAGATATTTATGCATGCAGTAAATACTTACCGAGCATCTGCTGTGCACCAGGTGTCTTGTGAGAAACAGTGAGACTTGGGTTTTGCTTTTGGTATGGTTGCAGATCAAAGCCGGGGTCTTGAACACACAAGGTAAGCACTCTGCCACTGGACTATCTCCCCAGCCCCTCAACTCAAGTGATTTTAAAGAGCTGGGTTGTTCATTTTTAAGTGCATTTATGGTAAGGCAATGGGAACTGATCAAATAAATGCATAAATAAAAGTGTGTTGCAAGCATGAGGCGACCCAGGAAGACCAGGTGAACGTAACAGGCCCAAAGGAACCCTGGCCCCGGGGTGGGTGGACATCAGGAAGGCTTCCCGGAGGAAAGGCTTTCAGCTGAGTCCAGGCAGTGAGTCAGGCTCCAGCTGAAAGAAGCAGCTCAGAGAAAACTCTCGAGGTGGAGGAGCTCTTTGCAGGGACCCAAAGACCTGTGTGGCTCAGAGTCAGAATAAGGCTCACCACGGGCGGCTACGGACCAGGAAAGGGAGCAAGAGAACCCACGAGGAACATGGCAATGGTCCATAGAGCTGCAGGGAGGGAGGCAGAAGGGCTGCGTGTGAGCGAGGAGGGCGACAGCCAGGGCCGAGCTTGGGGGGCCCAGGGAGGGACCGTGGGGAGCCGCAGATGGATTTTAGGCAGAGCCACGGACAAAGTCAGATTTATTTCATTCTCATCCTCTCTAATCATTGTTTGGTTTGTGTGTGTTTTTTGAAACAGGTTCTCACTATGCAGTCTAGGCTGGCCTTGAACTCACTATGTAACCCAGGCTGGCCCCAAACTGAGGGCAGTCCTCCTGCCTCAGCTTCCCAAGTGTGGGATTACAGGTGTGCACCACCACACCCAGCTGCAAGCCATTCGTTCTTTCAATGATTTGTTTTTCTCTTTGAGCAAACATGAAAAGGTACTCAGTAGCATTAGCCATCATGGAAATGCAAGCACAGCACAATAGCTTTGGAATAAAACAGGCAATTTCTAACAAAGCTAAACATGCAGTGACATAGTGACACAGCGATTCCACCCCTAACCGGGAGGAGGGAGTGCAGTGTCTGCTAAAAGGCACCAACAGTCATGTTCGTCACAGCAGCGGTCCCTGTGGGTCCCACCACGCCTGGTAAGGAGCAAAAGGAAGGCAGTCAGGATGCAGTGCAGCTTCTCTGGTGGTCAAGAACAGGGGAAACAAACATTGCCATTGGCAGATGTTTGTTTGAGGCTGGTTTTTTGTTTTGTTTGGGGTTTTGGTTTTTTGAACAGACAGGATCTTACTACACAGCTCAAGTTGGCCTTGAATTCACTGTGTTGCCCAGCATGGCCCCGAATTTAAGATGATCCTCCTGACTCAGCCTTCAGTTATTAGTAGGTAGGATTACAGCCATCCTCCGCCATGCTGGCTTTGGTTTGTTTGAGGCAGAGGGATAGCAAGTACAAGGCCAACCTGGGCAACATAGAAATTTATCAAGACCTTGTCTCAAGAAATAAAGGGCTGGGGATGTGGCTCAATGTAAAGGCTCTGGGTTCTATCCTCAGTACCACAAAAAGAAATAATGAAAAGGGGTTGGGATGCTGAGACCCTGGGTTCAACCCCCAACAGTGCAATAAGTAAATAAGTAAGGTATTGTAAATAAATAAGGTATTGATTGCCTCCTGTGGACCAGACAATGTGTTAGGTGCAGTAGGCACAGCATGAGCAAATATCCCTGTTGTCTCTTGGAGGAAGTGGAGATGGGGGTAGAGCGGGCTGGTAGAGCACTAGCCTAACATATCTAAGGACCTGGTTTCCAGTACGTGCCCTCCACCCAGAAGTGGACAGTAGACCAAACAAATAAACCTACCATTTTCCAGGAGTGGAAACTGGGAGTTACAAAGCTGAGACCACTTATCACAGACTTCTTAACTAGGTTTGGGCAGAAATGGGGCTCAGCTCTGCTCTCAACCCCCAAACCCCTTCTGAGTGCGTGTGGCAACAATTTCAGCCACAGAACCAAACCACTCCCTTCCTTCTCCCAGAGCCCCGTGTTCCCCATCCAGGCACTTGTATCATAACAAACACCCTTAGATAGGTTACAGGCCCAGTGCCACACCCACCCAACTGACTACAGAGTAATTTGGGGTCATGATCCAATGTCAGCAGCCCGGCAACTCGGCTCTGAGTTTGTAGACGCCATAAAGAGAATGCCACAGAAATCCTTTTTCCGTTTTTCCCTGTGATCACAGCACCCTGTCTTCATTCCTGTCTTTTGCAGCATTTCTCCCTATTTGTTTGTAATCACTCACTGAGGAATCTGCTCCCCAGACAGAAGCTTCAGGCTGTTGTCCTCTCTTTCTTACCTTGACTGCCTCCCCACCTGCCTCCTCCCAGGTCTCTCCTCACCCCATGGCAATCACAGTCCCACCAAAGCCAGAAGTCACACCCTGCATGCAGCCTGGGGTGGCCTCCCGTGGTCCTTAGTGTAGCATCTACTGAAAATGATTCAGCTCTTCCACTTCTACGGATATACCAGAAAACAGAAAAGCAAGGACTCACACAGATACCCGCAGATCCACATGTAGGTGAGCGTTATTCACATAGCTCAAAGAGGGAAGCCCCCCAAGTGTCCACAGACGGGCGATCAGATTTTTAAAAATGCCGCAGATATGCACAATGGAATATTGTCTAGCCTCAGAAAGAAGGGAAATCTTCCATGTGCTGCAACATGGATGAGCCTCGAGAACATTGTACCACTCCAAAGGAGCCGGTCACGAAAGGATCTTCTGTGTGGGTCTACTTAAGTGAGATTTCTGGAGCAGACAGACTCACAGGGACAGAAGAGAATGTCGGCTCCCAGGGGCTGGGAGAGGGGAAATGAGACAAGATTATTTAACAAGGACAGAGCTGTGGTTGGGGATGATGAAAATGCCCTGGAGACGGATGGCGGTGATGGTCGTGCGACACAGTGAACACATGTGATGCCAATGCCGCAGACATTGGCTTAAAATGGTAAAAATGAGTCAGGCAGGAGCTGAGGGGGCTGAATCCCATCACTCTGGGGGCGCTAAGGCAGGAGGACTGTAGGTCTGAACCAGCCTGGGTGACTCAGCAATGCCCTGTCTCAAAATTTTCAATGAAAAATTTTTTTTAGTGGCCTAGGGATATTACTCAGGGCAAAGGTGCTGCATTCAATCCCCAGTAGTGTGAAACAAAACAAAGTTAAAATGGTAAGTTTTGTGTTATGTATATTTTAATCACAATTAAAAATGGTGATAGAGGATCCAAAATAGAGCGGATTTAAAAACCCTTCAAGGCCTGACCTCTGGGCCAGCCTGCACCTCATTCCTCTGTCACTCTTGGAAGCTGCCTCAGCGACTCTCTTTGTTCTGATCACACACCAAGCTGATTCCCTTTGCCCCTGCAGCTCCCCTGCCTGGGAGCCTCTGCTGGCGTCTTCCGATAGCCACACCTCTGCACGCTTATCCTTCTGTTCAAACACCACCTCCTCAGGGACAGAGGTCCTCCCTCTTTAACCGACCCAGCCATCGGCACCTCCATCCTACCACCTGCTTTATTTTCTTTGTAGCACCTCACACTGTCTGAAACTGTTTAATTTGCTCAA